CATTGTTGTTGATTGACGACGTGTCATCCCCAATAGCGTGTGTTCGCTTTTCAAATGTAAGATCAGTCGAAAGGTGCCATGGTCGTTTGATATTGTTAACCCTTGTCACGAGAGATTCCATGACATCCAGCATACATTTTTCTTTACATAACTCAATAATTGCAATTTGATAATTAAGGACGCGAGACGTGAAGACATTCCTTACGGTTTTTTTTTCTTTAAATTTATTATCCGTTCGAGGCGTTAAGTGATGCAAAAAGATGTCCTTGCACCTTCCGGTGTCACCATGTTCTTTTTTAGTTCATGGTTTTTCTCACGACGACGTCTGCTGATAAATCACGACGACGGGTAATGACTATCGACTGACTACCAACCGATCTCGCTTACTCGATACTTATTCGTGAGCATCCTGCGCCATCTAATTATTGCGATCCGTGCAGATACGAGACACATATACGAAGGACTACTTCTGTAGATGTACGGCGGTAACCGTCTGTAGAAGTGTAATTCTCGCGGCGTGGAAACTGGCGAACAAAGAGCTGGCATTTGAATGCCAGCGACTATGATTCGCATCTGCTATGATCGGGCACGGACTTCGTGATCTTAACAGAATCGAGGCTTCTCCGTTTTAAATCCTCACCTTTTAATTTAAATCATAATTTTTTGTTTCGGTACATATAATTCACAAACTAAATTGGATAGAGTTTTGCATAGTACATCACGATTGCTCTGCCAAATTTTCTTTCTTTATTCAGACAGATATAATATAAATAATACGTTGCAATAAAGAAATATGAACTTGATTTTTTAAACTCACCGAGAAAACTTCAATATAGATTGCGTTTTAATAATATGTCAAAAGCTACGTGATATACATATTGACCGACTTAATTTATTTTTTACTATAAAAATTATAAGATATCGTACGGATATATCTTTTTTATGTTTATAAATTATACATAATTTTTAAACATTCTTGAATTGAAATGAATTGAATTGAACTAGAACTTTCTTTAGAATTGAATAATTAAAAAATTATCTTTTTTCTATTTATTATTTAAGTAATAATAACATAAATTTGTTAAATGTTAAATTTTAAGTAGTGAACAAAGAGACTTAATTATTATTTAATGTTCGACCACAATCGCAACTCTGTTCACACGTTAATTGCGACATTACTTTCCCATCGTAGCATCTAAATCTTGAACTTTATTGACCTGATCTGGAATGGTAATGCTATATATGGTTAACGCCCAGCAGAATCTTTTCCATTATTGAATAAATCGCTGTTAAAGATTTAAAACGCCATGCCACGTACGCAGCAATTTAGTGCTAAATCGCAACTGTTGACGGCATGCTTTACGATACCTTTCTTCACGCTTAATAAAAGCTAAGCGCCTTAAATTATACTTTATCGTGATCGTTCGTGTAACCAAGAAATAAACTAGTATCTTAGGTACATACTTTTAGTAACAGAATGAAATACAAAATCCAATACCATAGTTTAATTTTTTATTTTTAAACAATACGTTTTTGTGTAGACATATTTTATCCATCTACGATTTTTCCATTATTTGTATGTATAAGTATTTAAGTACTTAAAATTAATTGCTTAAAATTTTAATATGAGTTGCTTTTTTAAAATAAAAACCTATTTCTCATTTCTATTTCCTATTTCCTAAAATTTCTATTACTCAAGTAAATATATGGGAGATGTATCACACAATCAGAAATATAACTGCAACACACGTAGAGAAAGTAAAATAGTGTTATCCGCTTAGGTCAATGACTCTTGCTTTTGAAATCTTATTAATAGTGATCTATGGCGGGCAGAGGAAGTCGTATGGTATGATATTAGTCATCTGACGTGTTACAGAAACACTAGTTCCGCTTCGGCATGTATATTAATGTATTATATCCTGATCTTAAATTATTTCTCATAATGGTTATTCAACAAATTTTGCTCGCTATCTTTAAAGTATTTTTGAAAGAATAAATATGACAAGACTAAATACTGCAATAGAAAAAAAATTAAACAAAGAAACATATGTAGATAAAGACATAATAAATATATAACAAAAAACGCGCTTAACTTCGGGTTATACGGAGTACTTCTGGTCTTTAATAAATCATTATTCTCTTATCGTCATGGATCTTAAAGATTGTCCGCGCATTTGTATATTTTGGCAAAACGCAAGAAGTCGTTAAAAGTCGTTAGAAGTTAGCAATTTTTTATCTTACATTTACAAGTACGCGCGAATACTTCGGACTAAACGGAGCATTTCTGGGCTTTAGTAAGAAGCTTTGATTCTTTTGACGTAATAAATTTTAGGGAATGTTCTCGCACTTGTAAATTTTGGCACAAAACGCAGGAACGGTTAGGAGTTTTTCATTTACATATGCAAGTCATCATTACATATACAAGTGCGCACGGATACTTCGGAGCTTAACCGAGCACTTTTGGGTCTCGACTATTAATAGCATGTTCATATGATACATTATATTCTTGTGAAACGAAATAATGAAACTATAAGTATTGTTGTACCTTTTCACGTAGAAGATAATTTTGTTTTGTTAAAAAATATTTAACAATGAGTTAATCAAGCAATTGGTTCTTTTACATTACGAGTATAATAGAAATCACAATGATGAAAGTTATTGATTATATTGTTGATAACCGCATAATAAAATTAAGTGCAAAGAGAAATCTCTGTATCATTCGTTCTTGGGAAACATCATAATTTAGAATACGTGGGGAAGATTTTAATTATGGCCTTCACATGACTGTTAAATATCATGCAATTATATGAATTGTATATATAAATGTATCTTGAAATTTTTGAATATAGTCTTTATTAATTATTTTTTAATACATCTTTAATATTTATTTTAATAATAATTACACATATTATTAATTAAAGAATATTGGTGTGTACTTCAGTTATTAGATGATTTAAATAATTATATCTTGATATCTACAGGAAGTCATGTATACCATACAGTTATACATAGAACAATAACAAGTCTGACTAGTTTTATTCCCACGCAATTCTAGTGAAGAAGTATGAATCATTAATGCAGACTAAACAAGCAATAACTTGCACTATTACTGAGTAAATATCTAATACGTTAATCTAATTAGTATCTGCAGGTCACTTACTAATGCTATTTCTGTCGTACAAGTTATATTGCGCTTTTAAACGTAAAAATATAGAGATATTTTTAAATTTTAATTTTTTAAGTTGAAACTAACCAAAAAAATAGATTTGTAACTACTTCCATATATTTCTTATTTTTACTTTAAAAATTGTTCATTTTTGAAGAATAATTTATCGCGTTTTTTTTTTATCAAAAAACCAGAATATCTTTTTTATAGTAAATACATTTATATTCATATTATTACATTATTCGATAATATTTCGTATAGGATTATTATTTGTTTAACTAATCGTGCGAGTTTAACAAACAAAATATAAATGATCAGATGACTAAAGAAATACTTACGGAACACTCGTGAAAAGTACGAAATCATTGCAGTGAGAGTGTCTACGTAAGATGCTCGTTTTCTTTCGTCAAACTTGAATCTTTTCACATCCATTTCAATTTCCTCATCATCATTACCTTTGCCACCCACATTTTATACGCATCTGTTTGTATAACAGAGAATGATTTCGTTATGACTTGAATGCAGGGACCTAACTCACTCTTACTAGACATATTTCATTGGGAATTAAATTGCATCTTTCTATAGGTCTTTTATACATTATGATGGATAAATGGCATTGATTTTGGTTGAAAAGAGTATTCTCTCTCTCTCTCTTTTTCTCTCTCTCTCCCTCTCTCTCTCTCTCCCTCTCTCTTTCTTCCGCTCCCTTTTCCCCCTTCTCTATTTCCTCCTTCCCTTCCTCCCTTTTTCTTTCTTATCTATATTATTCATGTACAGTTAAATAAGATATTATTTATATGCTTGCAATAAGATTTACTGGAAGAATTATAGTTTTCATCAATTTATCTGATGCATTACTTACTATCGATAATTTACTCTCAGCTGGCAATCAGATATCAACCGTTGATATTGTTGTGTGTTCATGGATTTTAAACTATTGCTATTTTTTTATTTTGTAATGATTTTTAAAAGATATCAAAAATAGACATTACACTTTCTAAATTAAATATACCAAATAGTTTATTCTAAATTTAATATCGTAAATTAATATTATATTTATTTGTAAAAATAATATGAAATTTAATAAATGAAATTTAAAGCATGAATATTTTTGGAGATGTTTTAATATATTATTTAATATAAATTTTACATTTTACATATTATATTATAATTATTTAAATATTTGTTGAGTGTATGTGTATGAATACATCTATCACGGGATTGTATTGTCTATT